CGATCTCTGCTCAAGGCAACCTCCGCCTTCTGGGTTCAAGCAATTCTCCTGCCTCAGCCTCCCGAGTAGCTGGGACTACAGGCGTGCACCACCATGCCCAGCTAATTTTTGTATTTTTAGTAGAGACAGGGTTTCACCTTGTTGACCAGGATGCTCTCGATCTCTTGACCTCGTGATCCACCCGCCTTGGCCTCCCAAAGTGCTGGAATTATAGGCGTGAGCCACCACGCCCGGCCCTAATTTTTCTATTTTTAGTAGAGATAGGGTTTCACCATGTTGACCAGGCTGATTATGAACTCCTGACCTCAAGTGATCTGCGCATCTCAGCCTCCCAAAGTGCTGGGATTACAAGTGTGAACCACGACACCTGGCCTAAATTTAAAAATTGTTCCATAGTGTCAACTAAAGCTGAATAAATTTCTATCCTATGATGTAGCAGTTTCACTCCTATGTGCATACCTAACAGAAAAGAGTCATTCCACCAAAAGAAATATACAAGAATGTTCTTAGCACTACTTCTCATAACAGTCAACTATAGGAAGCAACCAGAATGTCCATCATTATTGTGTTAGAATGGAATGCTATATACAGTGATCAGACTCAAACATTTTATTCTCTGGATGTCTTTATGCTCCTAAAAATTATTGAGGACCCCAAGAGCTCTAGCATATGTGGATTGTATCTTTCAATATTAACTGTCTTAGAAATTAAATCCAGGAAAAATGAAATATTTATTTAATTCATTTAAAAATAGTAAACTACATGTTAAATAATGTATGATATTTTCCAAAACAAAACAAAAATATTTAGTGTGAAAGTGGCACTGTTTTTCAATTTCTGCACATTTCTTTAATGCTTGGATTAAAAGAAGATAGCTAGATCTCACATCTGCCTCTGAATTTATTAAATTAAAAGTCACTGGTCCATCTTGTTCTTTGAATTGAACTTTTATCTGTGGGGCCTGTTTTGTAACATGATGCATTAGTTATTTGGAAAATATTGCTTCAATTAGTTATGCAGATCTTCCAGACTCTGACACATTTTCTTATAAAATAGCCAAAAAATCATATTTGTTAATAACTCCACTAATCTAATCACAGAAGTCTTGAAGTATTTGAAAGCTGTTAGGCTCACAGGGGCTGATACAAACTTTCCTGACGTCTAATTTTGGCCACGTGCAGCAGCTCATGCCTGTAATCCAAGCACTTTGGGAGGCCAGGCGGATCAACCTGAGGCCAGGAGTTCAAGACCAGCCTGGCCAACATGGTGAAACCCCATCTCTATTAAAAATACAAAAATTAGCCGGGCATGGTGGCATACCTGTAATCCCAGTTACTTGGGAGGCTGAGACAGGAGAATCACTTAAGCACAAGGCGGAGGTTGCACTGAGCTGAGATCAGGCCATTGCACTCCAGCCTCTGTGACAGAGCGAGACTCCATCTCAAAAAAAAAAAAAAATCTAATGTTTACTTGTAAACTAGAATTGTGTCATTGGCAAATACAGTCAGTTTTTCTTAAAGTGACAGATTAATTTTTCAGTTTGCCAAAATGTCTGCCAAGTCTGAATCACCATAGTTTAGCAATTTGTTAATCACTATAGCTTATCCATCTGTTCTTTCAAGTAAAAATTGAATTCCATGCAAAAAAGTGGCTAATTTGGCTTGCAACTAGAACAATCAAGTGCATGCTTTTTTTCAAACCAATTAATCTACTTTGGTCTCCAGCAGAGGCCATTTTCATCCATGGAATATTAAAAAGATGTGTGTGGAAGCGCTGAGATTTAATAAAACTAATAATGATTGCTTTTCATTATAGGTATTCTTAAGTGAATCTGGCACTTTTTTCCTGCAAGCCATGACTGAAGAAAGCAGTGATTATGTACAGCTTGGGGCCACTGCTTTGATTCGGGCTAAGGCACCAGCAGTTTTACTCTCCATTGCTTTTGGTACAAATACTAACATTTTCCAGGATAAATAACGAGATTCAAAAAAGTTATTAATTTGAACATTTAGCACCACACTGTTTGTTACCAAGCATTTACATAAAAGAGGGTCCTCTTTAATGATTAATTGGCACTGATACTAAGTGAATATAAGGAAAACACCAAGTCTAGCTATGTAGATTAATCCATCTGTAAGACTTAAGTACAATTCAGTCTTCCTGTTTGCAGCTTAATCTGTAACTTGGGTTATTATTTCATTTGGAAATTGTACTTTTGTGAGCCTCAACCTACCGGGCTCAAGCAATCTACCACCTCAGCCTCCCAGGTAGATGGGAGGTTGAGGCCGGTAATCCCAGCACTTTGGGAGGTCCAGTTGGGCGGATCACGTGAGGTCAGGAGTTTGAGACCAGCCTGGCCAACATGGTGAAACGCTGTCTCTACTAAAAATACAAAAAGTAGTCGGGCGTGGTGGCAGGTGCCTGTAGTCCCAGCAACTCGGTAGGGTGAGGCAGGAGAATCGCTTGAACTTGGGAGGTGGAGGTGGCAGTCAGCCGAAATCGCACCACTGCACTCCAGCCTGGGTGAGAGTGAGACTCCATATTAAAAAAAAAAAAAGCCGCCAAAAATAGTTACAGTCATAGAAGCAGAGAGCAGAATGATGGTTGCCAGCAGAAGGGGAGGGAAAATGGGGAGATGTTGGGCAGGGGGTATAAAGCTTCACTTATGCAAGATGAGTGGGTTCTGAAGATTTGACATAATATATTATGACCCTACTTGGCAGTATTGTATTGTATTGTATACTTGAAATGTGCTGAGTGTTAAGTGTTCTCATCACAATAAAAAGAAAATGGTTAACTATGTAAGGTGATGAATATGTTCACTGATTATGGTGATTATTTCACATTGTAAATGTATATCGAATCATCAGGTTGTACACTTTAAATATATAGAATTTTAATTGTCAATTTTCCCTCAATAAAGTGGGGAAAAACAAATATTGAGACATTTAACTATGAATGCTATAATTAATATTTTTATATATTGGTGCTATGTGCTAATAGAACAAAGAATTTATTAAATCAGTAAACACTTTTAAATTTTTATTGTGTTTTAAATACTTAACATGAAATCTACCCTCTTAGTGTATTTTTAGGTGTACAATACAGTGTTGTCAAGTGTGGGCACAGGATTGTGCAACAGATCTTTTTTGTTGTTGAGACAAGGTCTTGCTGTTACCCGTGCCAGAGTGCAGTGAAGTAATCACAGCTCACTGCAGCCTGGACTTCCCAGGCTCAAGCAATCTTCCTACCTCAGCCTCCTAACTAGCTGGGACCACAGATACACACCAGTATACCCAGCTAAATTTTTATTTTTGTATTTTTTTAGTAGAGACAAGGTCTCACTATGTTGCCCAGGCTGGTTTCAATCTCCTGGACTCAAGTAGTCCTCCCATCTCAGCCTCCCAACATGCTGGAATTACAGATGTGAGCTACCACACCAGATTTTTTAATAATAAAAGTAGTCTCCTCCGCCTCCCCCACAAAAAACACTGGCCAGGCACAGTGGCTCATGCCTCTAATCCCAGCGCTTTGGGAGGCTGAGGTGGGTGGATCACTTGAGGCCAGGAGTTTGAGACCAGCCTGACCAGCATGGGGAAACCCCATCTCTACTAATGATACAAAAAAATTAGCCACTGTGGTGGCACACACCTGTAATCCTAGCTACTTGCGAGGCTGACACAGAGAATTGATTGAACCCAGGAGGCAGTGGCTGCAGTGAGCCAAGATTACGCCACTGTACTCCAGACTGGGCCACAGAGCAAGACTCCATCTAAAAAAAAAAAAAATCTTGCCGGGCATGGTGGCTCACTCCTGTAATCCCAGCACTTTGAGAGGCCAAGGTGGGCAGATCACTTGAGGTCAGGAGTTTGAGACCAGCCTGGGCAACATGGTGAAACCCCGTCTCTACTAAAAATACAAAAATTAGCTGGATGCAGTGGCACACACCTATAATCCCAGCTACTTGGGAAGCTGAGGCAGGAGAATTGCTTGAACCTGGAAGGTGAGGTTGCAGTGAGCCGAGATCATGCCACTGCACTCCAGCCTGGGTGACAGAGTGAGACTCCATCTCAAAAAAAAAATTCTTTTCAAGTACAAGAAATACATATTCTCTTTTTATTATATAATAAAATATTATTTTTATTTATTTTATTTTTTTTTTTTAATTGCATTTTAGGTTTTGGGGTACATGTGCAGAACATGCAAGATAGTTGCATAGGTACTACACATGGCAGTGTGTTTTGCTGCCTTCCTCCCCTTCACCCACATTTGATTTGGCATTTCTCCCCAGGCTATCCCTCCCCAGCTCCCCCCCCCACTGTCCCTCCCTAAAATATTATTATCAAATGAAATATTTATTCTTTTGTTTCCATGTAGGTACATGGAAAACTTGGGGATTTCACAATAATTTCTTAGACAATAATGATGTTACAGACATAAAAGCAGGTATAAATAAATACAGTTTTTAAGAGCACAGAAGTACTGGTAACAAAGCTAATCTCTGAAAGTACACATTTATTCTCCAAACCTACTACTCCAGAAACTTCTATAATACACAGAAATACATAATCACACATTCTGTTAGATTTCAGAATGTGACATCATCACACTTCTAGTAGTCTCATAGTAAGAGAATAAGTGAAAGGCAAATGTCTCAGGATTAGTATGAAAATAGCTTTGACCTTATAGACTTCTTGAAAGGGTCTCAGGTACCCTCCGCAGTCTTTGGACCACCCATTGAGTACTGCTGCTATATAGTAATGAAAATGAAGAAACTACTGCTGAACCCGGGAGGCAGCGGTTGCAGTGAGCCAAGATCGCTCCACTGTATTCCAACCTGGGCAACAGAGTGAGACTCCGTCTTGAAAAAAAAAAAAGAGTTCTCCAAGCCTTTTCTATCTTATGTGAATTATTTGCAGTTATCTCTCATTGCTGCCATAGATATTTTATTTCTCTCATGGTACAAAATCAGGAGTTAAAATATATTTCTTATCTTTCAGACTTGGCATCCAGAGATGAGCCCCAGAAATTATCTCCAAAAAGAGATATTTATGAAACAGAATTGTCCCAGTGGGTTAGCATGGAAGAATTTGAAAGCCATAATCTTGAGAGATCCATTTTTAGAAATATCTGGGAAGGCAACTGTCATTTTGAGCAACATCAGGGACAAAAGGAGGGCTATTTTAGACAATTTTTGGTTAACCATGAGAACATGCCCATTTTTAGCCAACATACTTTAGTCACTCAAGAATTTTATGATAGAGAGAAAATCTCTGAATGTAAAAAGTGTAGAAAAAACTTTAGTTACCATTTACTTTTTAGTCACCACAAAACTCATTCTGAAGAACTTTCTGAATGTAAAGAATGCACAGAAATTGTTAATACACCATACCTTTTTAAACAACAGATAATTCAAAATGGTGACAAATGCAATGAGTGTAAAGAATGTTGGAAGGTCTTTGTTCATTGCTCACAACTTAAACAACATCTAAGAATTCATAATGGTGAAAAACGCTACGAATGCAACGAATGTGGGAAGGCCTTTAATTATGGCTCAGAACTTACTCTACATCAAAGAATTCACACTGGTGAGAAACCTTATGAATGTAAAGAATGTGGGAAAGCCTTTAGACAGCGATCACAGCTTACTCAACATCAGAGACTTCATACTGGTGAAAAACCCTATGAATGTAAGCAATGTGGGAAAGCTTTTATTCGTGGCTTTCAACTTACTGAACATCTGCGACTCCATACTGGTGAGAAACCCTATGAATGTAAAGAATGTGGGAAGACTTTTAGGCATCGCTCACATCTTACTATACATCAAAGAATTCACACTGGTGAGAAACCCTATGAATGTCGGGAATGTGGGAAGGCCTTTAGCTACCACTCAAGCTTCTCTCACCATCAGAAAATTCATTCTGGTAAGAAACCTTATGAATGTCATGAATGTGGGAAGGCTTTTTGTGATGGCTTACAACTAACCCTACATCAGAGGATTCATACTGGTGAGAAACCCTATGAGTGTAAAGAATGTGGGAAGACTTTTAGACAGTGTTCCCACCTCAAAAGACATCAGAGAATTCATACCGGTGAGAAACCTCATGAATGTGTGATATGTGGCAAGGCCTTTAGACTTCATTCACACCTTATTCAACATCAAAGAATTCATACTGGTGAGAAACCCTATGAATGTAAGGAATGTGGGAAAGCCTTTAGCTATCATTCAAGCTTCTCACACCATCAGAGAATTCATTCTGGGAAGAAACCGTATCAGTATGGGAAGGCATTTAATCATGGATTACAACTTAACTTACATCAGACTCTTCATACTGGTGAGAAGCCAGTCACATTTCCGCTCCTTCCTCCCCATCCTAGTCTAGCATCATGAAACTTGTTGATGGAAATATACATTGTCTTTGTTTTATTTAAGGAAAACTTTGATAAGCTACCATGTTTCATTAGTATTGATTTATTTAACTAATCCTTGAAAACCAAATGTTTTTAAGTGAGAAAATGGAAAAGTAATTAAAGTGTAAATTTTGCTTTCATTTTAATGCTGTTTTTGAGTTACTGTATTAACCATTATTGAGAATAAATCTTCTAAAATTACATGTTTCACTGAAACCAGTGAAATATAGCATAAATAAAATGAAAACAATTTCCTCTGCTCCCACAACTCTCTGAGATAACTAGGATGTTAACTTCTTCTTCCATTTGCTCAAACAACTTGTACACAGAAGGCATTTGTTGCATGTGTTTGGAGGAGGTTTTACCCCTGTATGGACATTTTGGTGTCTTGTCCTTTTCATAATAATCATGAATACTTTTCCAGCTCAGTATATAAAGATGTAACCATCTTTAAGCTTCAGAATATCTCTAGAATGGAATGTATGTCAGCATTTTGAGCCATCACCTACTATAGTCATTCAAGCTGTTTCTTTTTGAGATGGAATTTAGCTCTTGTTACCCAGACTGGAGTGCAATGGCACCATCTCGGCTCACCGCAACCTCCACCTCCTGGGTTCAAGCAATTCTCCTGCCTCGGCCTCCCAAGTAGCCGGGACTACAGGGTGCACCACCATGCCCAGCTAATTTTTGTATTTTTAGTAGAGACGTGGTTTCACCTTGTTGACCAGGATGGTCTCGATCTCTTGATCTTGGGATCCACCCACCTCGGCCTCCCAAAGTGCTGGGATTACAGGCGTGAGCCACCGCGCCCGGCCTCAAGTTGTTTCTGATTTTCACCTGGAACTCTAATGCAGTAAACATTCTTACCTTCTTTTGTTTCTGTTGAGCAAATTCCAAACAGTGGGATTAAAGAGCATCTGGTGTATGTATTCTGAGATTACATTTACCTTTTAAAACCTTTTAATTTTTTTTTGTTTAAATAATAAAAGCACATGATAAAAATTCAAAAATTGCCAAAAATGTGAAAATTAAATGTCCCCTAATATTCAGTTTTGTAGCCACTCACTTTCTCTCCTCAAGTGCAACAAGTACTATCAGTTTCTTTTTTTCTATCAGGAATATTCCAAGTAAGTTTAGTAAATTCTTCAGACAAAAGTACATTATTCATAATATGTGATTTATTACACAGTCTTATCATTAGTCCACATTTGGCCGACTTTATTTCATTCTTTTTTTTTAGACAGGGTCTAGCTTTGTCACCCAGGCCAGAGTGTAATGGCACAATCTTGGCTAACTGTAACCTCTACCTCCCAGGTTCAAACAATTCTCCTGCCTCAGCCTCCGGAGTTGCTGGAACTACAGGCATACACCACCATAGCCAGCTAATTTTTGTATTTTTAGTAGAGACAGTTTTTCACCATGTTGACCAGGCGGGTCTTGAACTTCTCACCTCAGATGATCCATCTGCCTCAGCTTCCCAAAGTGCTTGGACTGCAGGTGAGAGCTGCTGTGCCCAGCCCACTTCATTTTTTTTTTTTTTTTAAGACAGGGTCTCACTCTGTTACCCAGGCTGGAGTGCAGTGGTGCAATCTCAGCTCACTGCAACCTCCGCCTCCTGGGTTCAAGCAATTCTCCTGTCTCAGCCTCTCAAGTAGCTGGGATTATAGGAACTTGCCACCACACATGGCTAATTTTTGTAATTTTAGTAGAGACAGGGTTTCACCATGTTGGTCAGGCTGGTCTTGAACTCAACCTTGTGATGTGCCCACCTTGGCCTCCCAAAGTGCTGCGATTACAGGTGTGAGCCACCACTCCTGGCCACCTGCTTCATTTTTAATATATTTCAGGAATTTTAAAACTTTGTGGTAACTATCAATTTACTGCCTCTCAACTCTGAATCCTTCACTGCCTGCTCTGCAGTATTGGAACTGGATTCTGTGAACATTTCTCCTTTGCCACCTGGCATGATGTTACTCTCTGCCAGCAGAGTATGGGGAGGACACTAGAGGAGGAGGGTTTTTTCTCTTCTTAGGTTTGTTTCACTTTTATCAGGCTCCTGTAGTACCTGTAGCAGTAGCCCTTGGCTCCTGTAGTATGTGACCTCCAGCAGCACCGGCCTCTAACATGCACTTGGGTGGCTTCACAGTGAGTAATAAGGGGTAGTGGCATCTCTGAAGCTGGCTTTTGCCATCTACACAGAGGTTGACTTCCTGAAAGTCCTACCTCTCTGCCATTCTGAACCATGTCTATACCCCTTCAAAGAAGGCCTGGATTTTGGCCGTGTGGGAGAGTGGGCTATTTTGCGTCAGGTATCTCAGTCCATGCTTTCTAGGGTCAATCATGGCTACCAATTTCTTTTGTATTCCCTGAATATTCTAGGTAAAGTTTTTAAATCCTTTGGACAAAAAGTAAACAATAACTTCATTAGCACTGTATTATAGGGTGGATTTATATATGTTTATACTTAAGATATTTATTTTTTACTTCCTCAATCCAAGAATTCACATCCTTCATTGGTTCTCAAAAATTCTCAACTATTTCCACTTATAATATTCCTCTCCCTCATTTTCTGCCCACTTCTCCCTTCTCTGTCTACCCTCTGAATTATACATTGATCTTTTCCTCACTGTCTTTTTAGGTCTTTTGCTTATTTGTCCAACAGTACTGTCAAGAACAGAACTCCTTGTGTGTACATTTTTTAAATTACATATTTTATATCGTGCTATACAATCCAAAATTTGTTTCAATCAGTTAGTAAGTTCTTATAATTAAGTCTCTTTTTGTGATTTACAGGGTAGTTAAGGAGGGAGTGGGGTCAAGGGGGATGTGGATGTGGCTATAAAAAGGCAACATGAGGAATCCTTGTGATGATGGAAATGTTCTGTGTTTTGACCCAATGTCAACATCATGCTTGTGATATATAGTGTTTCAAGACAATTAGCATTGGGGAAAACTTAGTAAAGGGTACATGGGATCTTTTTGTATTTTTTTTATATTTTATTTTTGAGACGGAGTTTCGCTCTTGTTACCCAGGCTGTAGTGCAATGGCGCCATCTCGGCTCACCGCAACCTCCGCCTCCTGGGTTCAGGCAATTCTCCTGCCTCAGCCTCTTGAGTAGCTGGGATTACAGGCATGCACCACCATGGCCAGCTAATTTTTTTTTTGTATTTTTAGTAGAGACAGGGTTTCACCACGTTGACCAGGATGGTCTCGATCTCTTGACCTCGTGATCCACCCTCCTTGGCCTCCCAAAGTGTTGGGATTACAGGCTTGAGCCACCGCGCCCAGCCTGGGATCTTTTTGTATTATTATTGCAAGTGCATATACTCTAAATTTGTCTCAAAATGAAAACCTTACTTTTTTTGTAAGTTAGGAAAGATCATTTCAGACAAATATGTGAATCTGAGTTATCAATTTACTGTTATGTAGAACAGGCAACTTTATGATGTTTCCCAACGCAATTCTGAATTACTAGTGATTACACTGTCTTTCATTTTAAAAAATGAGACATTCATAGGCTTTTCTGTGTGTGTGTGAGACAGGGTCTTTGTTGCCGAGGCTGGAGTGCAGTGGCATGATTATAGCTCACTGCAGCCTCATTTGTGGTTACTTGACTGATTTACATTTTTCTATGTTTATACTTTCTGGTTTATATACATTAACATAATGATCTGTTCTTAAAAAGACAAAATATTGACAGAAATTGGATACACACATGCATTAACCTATTCCTTGTGGAAATTAATAATAAACATACTATATTCTTTCCTTTTTTTTTTTTTTTTTTGAGCTAGAGTCTTGCTCTGTCACCCATGCTGGAGTGCAGTGGCACGATCTTGGCTTACTGCAACGTCTGCCTCCTGGGTTCAAGAAATTCTCCTCCCTCAGCCTCCCAAGTAGCTGGGACTGCAGGCGCATGCCACCATGCTTGGCTATTTTTTTGTGTGTATTTTAGTAGAGACGGGGTTTTACCATGTTGCCCAGGCTGGTCTCAAACTCCTGAGCTCAGGCAATCCGCCCACCTCAGCCTCCCAAAGTGCTGGGATTACAGGCATGAGCCACCGTGCCAGCCTATGTGCCTTCTTTGATTACAACTATTATAAACTTTATATTTCTCTCTTGAGTGTGATTATAAACTCATACTCAACTTGTCTCAATAAGATATATTTATTCTTTTTTATTTTTTTTTGAGAGAGAGTTTCGCTCTTGTTGCTCATGCTGGAGTGCAATGGCGCGATCTTGGCTCACTGTCACCTCTGCCTCCCGGGTTGAAGTGATTCTCCTGCCTCAGCCTCCGCCACACCTGGTCAAATTTTTGTATTTTTAGTAGAGATGGAGTTTCACTATGTTGGCCAAGCTGGCCTCAAACTCCTGACCTCAGGTGATCCAACTGCCTCAGCCTCCCAAAGTGCTGGGATTATAGGCATGGACAACCTTGCCCGGCCACTAAGGTAGATTTATTCTTATCTGATGTGGATGAAAACTGTCAAAACACAACCAATGGATAATGTTAACATGCTTTCTAACATGCACAATGCTAGAGCCAGGAATCACCTTATAGCATCTTTTTATCCTTGCCACAACAAAATGTTCCTCATCCATCCTGATGTTTTATCTTTCCATAAGATAGCAATCAATACACATATAATCCCAGCACTTTGGTTGAAGTGGGTGGATTGTTTGAGCTCAGGAATTTGAGACCAGCCTAGGCAACATGGCGAAACCCTGTCTCTACAAAAAATACAAAAATTAGCTGGGCATGGTGGAACATGCCTGTAGTCCCAGCTACTTGGGAGGCTGAGGTGGAAGGAACATGAGTCCAGGAGTTCAAGGCCAGTGAATGGAGATTGCTCCACTGTACTCCAGGCTGGACAACAGAGCAAGACTCTGTCTCAAAAAAAAAAAAAAAAATAGGCCAGGAGTGGTGGTTCCTCACACCTGTAATCCCATCACTCTGAGAGGCCAAGGTGGGTGGATCACCTGACGTCAGGAGTTCAAGACCAGCCTGGCCAACATGGCAAAACTCCATCTCTACTAAAAATACAAAAATTAGCCAGGTGTGGTGGCACACACTTGTAACCCCAGCTACTCAGGAGGCTGAAGGAGGAGAATTGCTCCAACCAAGGAGATAGAGCTTGCAGTGAGCCGAGATAGAGCTTACTGTGCCACTGCACTCCAGCCTGAGCAACAGAGTGAGACTCCGTCTCAAAAAAAAAAATGGAATAATCAACTACTCTCCGAGGAGCCTTATACTTTTGCTATAGTGTTTTGTATTTAATACCATTTAATAGTATTTTATATTCAATTAAATACTATTTAATAGTATTAAATACAAAAATCTGTGTAGTGAGTTAGGGGTTTATGGTAGTTAGATGTAGACAAAAGTGTTGCTGCTGCTGTGTGGCCACATTTGATGGTGTAAGGAGCTGGCAAACATTTTTTTAAGATTATATTGTATTTGTGTTATATAGTATGAATTATTTCTGACATGAGAGAATTTTATCTCATGGAATCATGTTTGGTGTAGATTATTTAAAATGTTGACAGCTGATTTATGAGAAGGGTATCTGCTGAGGAATAACTTGGAAATACTTGTGTTTTAGGAAGATCTCTCTATTGGTTTTCGTGGAGTATGAACTAGGGATTTGTGTAATAGTGGAGGAAAGGACAGACTGAGGGGGCAGAAGGAGAAATGAATAGATGAGGAGGCTATCAGCTATTGTAGCCTATTACCAGAATCCATGTTGGAGAGCTTCAGAATTTACAAAGAAATTGATTTGAAGACATCAGATGCAAATCTCAGATAGTAAGAAGATATAATCATCAGAAGCTATTGATGAGGTATTAGGTGGTGATAAGAAAACAAGATTTCATAGTGATCCTCAGACACTTAGGAAATGTACCTGCAGGCTCCCATATCAAGGATCTGTCATACTTTAATTGATGCTGAGATACATGTTTGTTTTTTTTCACATTTTAACATTTCTGAAGGAGGGATAAATTATTAGTCAGCAACTATGCACTCCTCTCCCTTTTGAAGAATATAATAGACTTTGGATTTAGCCAATAGAATGTGAGTGGAAGTCATTTTTGGCAGAACTTTACATGTGCTTTCTTATTATGACTTGGCTTTTGCTATTGGCCGTAGGAACATGCCACATGTAGCCATTTGTTCATCCATGAAAACCTTCCAAGAGTAGTGGCACTGCTTCACTTCCACCTTCTAAATCTCATGCAAATTTCTCTTTTGGACATGCTTATCTCAGAACTATATTAAGAAAGAGACTCTGAAAGAAAAAATTATAGCTTAGCCAAATTGAACCACTTGAAAAACATCTCAAATACCTAACTACAGAAAATATTTTTGTCTCTTCCTGGAGTATGGATCAATATCAGTTCACCCTTAAACCCAAACTCAAACGTCCATGAGGGATGGTTTACTTCTACTGAGTACATGTAGCTATTTAAGTTTCCTAGTAATGTGGACGTTGCACCTAAATCACCTGGGCATGCCCTGGAATTGATTTCTGTCACTTTACCCCATCTATTTTTCAAAACAAGTTTAGATTTATTGTGATAACAAATACATTGAAAGCAAAGCAGCTTTGGTATCATATAACTGTCTGGAATTTTGTTTGTCCATCGTTAGTTTTTTGTTTTTTTTTTTTTTTTTGAGACAGAGTCTTGCTCTGTCACCAGGCTGGAGTGCAATGGCACGATCTCAGCTTACTACAACCTCTGCCTCCCAAGTTCAAGCATTCTCCTGCCTCAGTCTCCCGAGTTGCTGGGATTACAGGTGCCTTCCACCACACCCAGCTAATTTTTGTGTTTTTAGTAGAGATGGGGTTTCACCATGTTGGCCAGGCTGGTCTTGAGCTCCTGACTTCAGGTGATCCACCTGCCTCAGCCTCTTAAAGTGCTGGGATTACAGACCACCATGCCTGACCCTTGAGCATATTTTCATATGTGTATTGGCCATCTGTATATCTTCTTTGGAGAAGTGTCTAATCAAATATTTGCCTTTTTAAAAATTGGATTGTTTGATTGCTGTTGTTGAGTTTTAGGAGTTCTTTACATATCTAGATATATATTTTACAAACAGTTCCTCTTATTTTGTGGGTTATGTATTCACTCTGTTGATAGTGTACTTTAATGCACAAAAGTTTTGAATTTTGATGAATTCCAGTGTACCTATGTCTTCTTTTGTTGCCTACGCTTTTGGTTTCATGTACAAGAAATCAGTGCCAAGTCCAATGTCAGCAAGCTTTCTCCCAGTATTTTCCTTTGAAGTTTTTTTATTTTTGTTCTCACATTAAGGTCTTTGATCCATTTTGAATTAATTTTTGTATATAGTGAAAGATAAGATTGCTTTGCATGTAGATGCTCAGTTTTCCCAATACCACTTGTTGATAAGACTGTCCTTTTCCCATTTAATAGTCTTGTTACTCTTATAAAAATTATTTTGCCATGTTGGGCACATTGGCTTATACCTATAATCCCCAGCACTTTGGGAGGCCAAGGCAGGTGGATCACTTGAGCTCAGGAGTTCAAGACCAGCCTGGACAACATAGGAAGACTTGGTAGTATTAAAATCAAAATTAACTTGAGTGTGATGGCTCACAGCAGTAGTTACAGCTACTTGGGATGTTGAAGTGGGAGGACTGCTTGAGCCCAGGATCTTGAGAGGCTGCAGTGAGCCATGATCACACCACTGCACTCCCACCTGGGTGACAAGCGAGACCCTGTCTCAAGAAAACAACACACAAATAAACAAAAATTATTTAGCCACATATCCAAGGAATTATTACTGGGCTATCTATTCTATTCCATCATTTTTTGTTTTTGGGGTTTTGTTCATTGGTTGGAATCAGGGTCTTGCTCTGTCACCCAGGCTGAAGTGCAGTGGTGCAATCATGGCTCACTGCAGCCTCAACTTTCTGAACCCAAGCGAACCTCCCACCTCAGCCTTCCAAGTAACTGAGATTACAGGCGTGCACCACCACACCTGGCTAATTTTTTTGTATTTTTTGTAGAGATGTGGTCTCCCTATGTTGCCCAGGCTCCTCTTAAATGCCTGGGCTCCAGCGCTCCACTTGCCTTGGCTTCCCAAAGTGCTGGGATTACAGGCGTGAATCACTGTACCCAGCCTCCTCAGTCTTATGCCAGAACCATACCATGTTCATGACCATGGCATTGTAGTTAAGTTGTAAAACCAGGAAGTATAAGTTATCCAACTGTGTTCTTTTTCAAGATTGTTTGGCTATTCAGAGTCCCTTGAGATTCTGTATGTAGTGAATTCTTATAATTTTAAGTTGCCCCAGCAACCATTTTGAATATAAGTTCAACTTTCTCATACCAGAATCCAGAATTAGTTGCCCTTGACACACCATTTTCAGTTATCTGCCTCCAAGTTCCTCAGTGTGTTCAATCCAGATATCTACTTTATACAACCCCCTCCTGGTGGCCACCACTCTGTGAGACAGCTAGATACAACCTATTTGACTGACCCCACTGACCTGTATACCCATTTTGCTCTCTGTTTCTATAGTTTTGATGTTTTTACATTCCATACATAAGTGGGATGGTGCCATTTTTGTCTTTTTGTGCTGGACTTACTTCACTTAACATAATGTTCATCCATGTTGTGGAAAATGACACTATTGCCTTCCTTTTCAGGGTTAATAGTATTCTATTATGCATATATACCACATTTTTTTTTAAGCAGATTCTTACTCAATCTGTTGCCCAGGCTGGAGTGCAGTGGCACAATCTTGGCTCACTGCAATATCCGTCTCCTGGATTCAAGCTATTCTCCTGTCTCAGCCTCCCGAGTAGCTGGGATTACAAACTTGCACTGCCATGCCTGGCTAATTTTTCTTTCCAAGATGGAAACTTATTTCCCACCCTCTACTGTACAAATTTCTTACCAATTTGTCTAGAGCAATTGCTACTTTCTGCTCACCAGGCCCAATTAGCATAATATCAACCAGGTAGTGGACCAGCATGGTGTCTTCTAGAAAGGAAAGGGGATCAAGATCTCTGTGGACTACATGATGTCATAGGACTGAACAGTTGATACATCCATATGATGATTAAATTTTTTTGTTTTGAGACAGTCTCGCTCTATCGCCCAGGCTGGAGTGCAGTGGTGAGATCTCGGCTCACTGCAACCTCTGCCTCTCAGGTTCAAGCGATTCTCCTGCCTCAGCCTCCTGAGTAGCTGGGATTACAGGCACATGCCACCACGCCTGGCCAATTTTTGTATTTTTATTAGAGACAGAGTTTCACCATGTTGGTCAGGCTGGTCTCAAACTCCTGACCTCGTGATCCCCTCACCTAAGCCTCGCAAAGAGCTGGGATTATAGGGATGAGCCAACACGCCCAGCAATTATGGTTAATTTTATGTGTCAATTTGGCTAGGCCACAGTACCCAGATATTTTGTCAAACATTATTCTAGATGCTTCTAAATCTTCTGTGAAAATTTTTCTTAGATACAATTAACATTTAAATCAACAGACTTTGAGTAAAGCAGATTATCCTCCATAATTTGGGTGGTTCTCATCTAACTAGTTGAAGGCCTTAATTGAAAAAAGACTGACCTCCCTTGAAGGAAGAAAATTCTTCCATCACACTTTTTTGGGTCTTGAATAGCATCAACTCTTCCCTGAGTTTACAGCCTCCTGGACTACCCTGAATATTTTGGACTTGATAGCATTCACAACCAATGAACCAATTCCTTTTTTTTTTTTTTTTTTTTTCGAGATGGAGTTTCTTTCTTGTTACCCAGGCTGGAGTGCAATGGCGTGATCTCGGCTCACCGCAACCTCCACCTCCTGAGTTCAAGCAATTCTCCTACCTCAGCCTCCTGAGTAGCTGAGATTACAGGCACGCGCCACCATGCCCAGCTAATTTTTGTATTTTTAGTAGAGATGGGGTTTCACCTTGTTGACCAGGATGGTCTCCATCTCTTGACCTCATGATCCACCCACCTTGGCCTACCAAAGTGCTGGGATTATAGGCATGAGCTACCGCGCCCAGCCCAAACCAATTCCTTAAAATAAATCTCTCTCTTCTGGTGAATCCATAATCAGTTGATAGTTACTTAGCATCAACTGATTACGGACTTTATTCACATCTACAAAATACCTAGATTACAGCAATACCTAGATTATAGCAATACCTAGATCAATGTTTGAATAACTAGGGACTGTAACCTAGCCATGCTGAACATAAAACTGACTGTCTACATAATAATAGAGTAGGAGGCATGGCAAAGGGGTATATAGATGGACATATGAGAGTAGGCATGATCGTAAAGATCTCTGTATCACATTAATGTCCTAAAGATCACATCAACTATAAAAGACTCATTAAACATCCAAGTACATAAAATGACTTAGGTTCTTGTTATTAACCAGTCTTAGTCATTTGCCTTCCAGTACACATATTATAGGCAAATCTATAAATTGGTCACAGTTGCAAAGGCGGAGGGTCTGGATGGCCTCAATATCATGTACTGCCACCTGCCAAGAGGACCTAGCTACTGCTGACTCTGAAGCGAGAGACCAGAGATGAACCTTCGATGGGGACTATTCTTTGATAAGACCAATCAGCCACTTAATGTCAACCTGGGTTAAGCAAACAGGGCTTCTTCCATCCTGCAACAGCCAGAAGTTCATTCTCAGGAAGAGACAGTTATTCTGAGTATGGGTCTGCCTTTTCTGTCCACAAGTCGTCAGCCAATACCACCATCTGGGTGCTTATCGAATGCCTTGTATAAAGGCACAGTATCTCAAACAGCACACCATCTTACCAGGACATTTACTTTTAAGCAAAAAATGTGTAGGAATTAGCCCATAACAATAGGATGGGAAGTCCTAGCCAAAGCAATTAGGCAAGAGAGATAAAGAAAGGGAATCCAAATTGGAAAAGAGAAAAATTGTCACTGTTCACAGATGACATTATTTCCTATATAGAAAATCTGGCTGGGTGCAGTGGCTCGTGCCTGTAATCCCAGCACTTTGGGAGGCCAAGGTGGGCAGATCACTTGAGGTCAGGAGTTTCAGAGCAGCCTGGCCAACATGGTGAAACCTCATCTCTACTAAACATACAAAAATTAGCTGGGCATGGTGGTAGGGGCCTGCAATCCCAACTACTTGGGTGGCTGAGGCATGAGAGTCACTTGAACCAGGAGGCAGATGTTGCAGGGAGCCAAGATTGTGCCACTGCACTCTAGCCTGGGCAACAGAGCGAGACTTTGTCTCAAAAAAAAAAAAAGAAAAGAAAACCCTATGAGCTTCACCAAAAAACTCTTTCAGCTGATAAATTCAGTAAAGTTGCAGAAACAAAATTAACGAAAATTCAGTAGTGTTTCTACACATCAACAACAAACCAGAGGAAAAAGAAATCAGGAAAGTAATCCCATTTATATTAACTACAAAAATTGTAAAATACCTAGGAATAAACTGAACCAAGGAGATAAAACACTGATGAAGAAAGAGGTCACAAAAAAAAAAAAAAAGACAGCTGGGCATGGTGGCTCACACTTGTGATCCCAGCACTTTGGGAGGCTGAGGTGGGCAGATCACCTGAGGTTGGGAATTCGAGACCAGCCTGACCAACATGGTGAAACCCCGTCTCCTTAAACAAAAAAAGAAAGAATGAATGAAAGAAAGAGGTCACATAAAAATGGAAAGGTATCCAATGATTATGAATTTGAAGAACATCATGTAAAGGACTATACTACCAAAAGCAATATACAGATTCAATGAAATCCCTATCAAAATAATAATGATATTCATCATAGAAATAGAAAAAAATCCTAAGATTCATAACAGAAAACTCTCAAAGACAAAGAAATCCTGAGCAAAAAAACAAAGCTGGAGGCATCACACTACCAGACTTCAAAATGTACTACAGAGCATTCAGTGGGGAAACAGCAATCTTCAATAAATGGTGCTGGAAAAACTGGATATTAATATGCAGAAAAGTGAAACTAAATCACTAGCTCTCATCATATAAAAAAAATCAACTGAAAATATATTAAAGTCTTAAATATAAGACCTGAAACTATCAAACTGCTAGAAGAAAAGGGGGGAAATGCTTCAGAACATTCATCTGAGCAAAGATATTTTGGTTAAGACCTCAAAAACACAGGCAACAAAAACAAAAATAGACAAATAGAATTATATCAAGCTAAAAAAGCTTTGTACAGCAAGCAGAACAGTCACCAGAGTGAAGAGACAACTTACAGAATAGGAGAAAATATTTGAAACTAACCAGGATAATAAGGAACTCAACTTAATAGCAAAAAACACAAAAATATCTGATTAAAAAATGGGCAAATGATCTGAATAGACATTCCAGAAGAAGACAAAATGGCCAAAAGGCATATGAAAAAATGCTTAATATCATTAATTATCAGCGAAATACAAATCAAAGCTACAATGAAGGCCAGGCACAGTGGCTGAAGCCTATAATCCCAGCACTTTGGGAGGCTGAGGAGGGTGGATCACCTGAGGTCAGGAGTTCGAGACCATCCTGGTCAACGTGGGGAAACCCCATCTCTTATAAAAATACAAAAATTAGCTAGGCATGGTGGCATGTGTCTGTAGTCCCAGCTACTCAGGAGGCTGAGGCAGGAGAATTGTTTGAACCTGGGAGGTGGAGGTTGCAATGAGCCGAGATCACACCACTGTAATCCAGTCTGGCGAGAGTAAGGCTCCATCTCAAAAAAAAAAAAAAGTTGTATAGAAGGAATAAGTTCTAGTGTTTCACAGGACAGTAGGATGATTATAGTTAATAATTTATTGTGTATTTCAAAATAGGTATAATATTTGAAATGTTCCTACCACAAAGAAATGATAAATATTTGAGGTGAATATCCTAATTACCCTAATTTTTTACACATCGTATGCAAGTATCAAAACATCACACATGTCCCATAAATACGTACACCTATTATGCATTAATAAAAACATACACTGTAATTCCAGCACTTTGGGTGGTCAAGGAGGGTGAATCACTTGAGGTCAGGAATTCCAAGACCTGCTTGGCCAACATGGTAAAACCCTGATTCCACTTAAAATACAAAAATTAGCCAGGTGTGGTGGTACATGCCTGTAATCCCAGCTACTTGGGAGGCTTAGGTGGGATAATTGCTTGAACCCGGGAGGCAGAGACTGAAGTGAGTCAGGATTGTGCCACTGCACTCCAGCCTGGGCAACTGGCCCGATTATAAACTGATGAATATCTCAAATGGGAGAACATCCCAGGTGAATGTTGAAGACTGGTGTTAGAGCCTATGCTTTTTGCTGCTGCATATTACTTGTGAAGCAGCGCATGTAATCCAGAAGCCAGTCTAAAGATACCTTTGGGGACACAAATCAGGAGGTACTGCTGCTGATGAAGCAGAGCTAGGGTTTATTTAAAAAATTACAGACAGTACAATTCACTTTTTTATATGTATGCTTCTATTTTTTACAGTGAGACCCTGTCTCAAAACAAACAAACAAACAAATCAATAGAACAAACAGGTCATAACACGTGCTGCACCACCTAGAGTCTCCCTGATAAAGAACTGAAATGGGCTTTTGAAACTATAGCCAATGTGAAGCCTCAAAGGGCATGTTCTGCAAGGATGGAGTACCATCCTCCAGAATGCAGTATACATATACAATCAGGGATCTTTATACGGCACTGTGTTGGAATTAAGAACACCACTGAGGGCCAGGCTCATGTGTGGTGGCTCATGCCTGTAATCCCAGCACTTTGGGAGGCCAAAGCAGGTGGATCATAAGTTCAGGTGTTTGAGACCAGGCTGGCCAACATGGTGAAACCCCATCTCTACTAAAATACAAAAATTAGCTGTGCATGGTGACGGGTGCCTGTAATCTCAGCGGGAGTCTGAGGCAGGAGAATTGCTTGAACCTGGGAGGTGGAGGTTGCAGTGAGCTGAGATGGTGCCACTGCACTCAAAAAAAAAAAAAAAACACTCAGAACCAAGGGATAGCAGAATTGGCCTCACTTAGTATTATTCCCAATGATTGCACATGCCCCAATGACTATGTATTGGCTGGTTTGTCAGCCATCGTTAGATGTGTTGGAGACACCCAACAGAACACACAACCTGGGTTCCATCTTCCATAGGTGTGTCCCCCCAGAGATGAAGCCTGCCACTCCAGTTGGGGGGTGAGCATCTGGATGGAGTTTACAAATATGGGCTAAGTGCAGTGTGTTCCTTATGTTTTGAGTTGATTTGAGGAACAATTATGAGACCATATGGCCAAGGCCTGTGTGTGTGTGTGTGTGTGTGTGTGTGTGTGTGTGTGTGTGTAGACTGACTACTACTGAATATGTAATTCAGAACCCAGTCTAAAGATATCTCTGGGGACACAAATCAGGAGGTACTGCTGCTGATGAAGCAGAGCTAGGGTTTTTATTTATTTAAATTACAGACAGTACAGTTCACCTTCTCGTATGTATACTTCTATTTTTTACACATGCATAGATTTTTGTTATCTATGACCACAAGCAGGATACAAAACAATTCCAACACCTCAAAGAATTCCCTCATGCACCCCCTTTGTATTCAGATCCCACCCCACCCCAAACACTCAGCAATCTTTGATCCGTTTTCTGTCGTTATATTTTTGCTTTTTCCAGCACGTCATATAGAAGGAATCATACAGTACATAACTTTTTGGGACTGGGTTATTTCCTTTAGCGTAATGCATTCAAGGTTCACCTACGTTGTTGCATGTTTCAGTAGCTCGTTGTTGTTATTGTGTAGAATTCCATCCTATGAATGTACCACAGTGTATCCATTTACACACTGAAGAACATCTGCTTGTCTCCAGCTTTCCAAATTGTAAATGACACTTACTCATGTACAGGTTTTTGTGTGCACATAATTTTCCATTTTTCTAGGATAAATACTTATAAGTGGGATTGCTGGGTCATATAGGGTGTGTAACTTTTTGAGGCTGGCATATTGTTTTCCAGAACGGCTTTACCATTTTGCCTTTCCCATTAGCAATGTATGAGAGTTCCAGTAACAAACCCGCACCTGTACTCCTGATCTAAAATAAAAGTTGAAAAAAAAAAAAAGTTCCAGTCGTTCCACATTTTTGTCAGCACTTGGTATTGTCACATACCTAGAGTTTTGAAAAGCCTGATTATAAACTGATGAATATCTCAAATGGTAGAGCATCCCAGGTGAATGTTGAAGACTAGTGTTAGAGCCTGTGCTTTTTGCTGTTGCATATTACTTCTGAAGTAGCCATGGCAAGCCTGGCTCTATTGCTAGACCAGAAATAGTAGAGAAATTCAAGTGTTACCTGGCAAGAAATGATCACATTTGAGATGCACTGTGCACTATCTGATACTGGGGACAGAGAGGGTAAGGAGATATGCTTGTTTACATACACTATAAGGAAATACACAGCAGTTATAGGAACTATGTTTGTAGGATGGAGCTGATTTACAGTCAGACTGCAAAGCTCTAACATTATCTCCATGATGCCTGGATGTCTGGCTCTGACTCTCGGTTGGGATAATATGATTGACTATATGAGGTGTTGGTTAAAGTCTGATACTCCCTGGGAGACTCCCAGAGCCAATTTGTTTATGATGGCTTTTTAACTTTTTTAAACTCACATAACCAGTTAGATAGCCTGGCTTGACCACGTAGCAAGTGAACAGAGGGGCATAAAAACTCGTACAGTGGCTGGGCACAGTGGCTCATGCCTGTAATCCCAGCACTTTGGGAGGCCAAAGTGGATGGATCATCTGAGGTCAGGAGCCTGGCCAACATGGCAAAACCCTATCTGTACAAAAAACACAAAAATTAGCTGGTCATGGTGGCACATGCCTGTAATCCCAGCTATTTGAGAGGCTGAGACAGGAAAATCACTTGAACCTGGGAAGCGGAGGTTGCAGTAGGCTGAAATTGCACCATTGCACTCCAGCCTGGGCAACAGAGTGAGACTCCATCTCAAAAACAAACAGGCCGGGCGCGGTGGCTCATGCCTGTAATCCCAGCACTTTGGGAGGCTGAGGCAGGTGGATTACAAGGTCAAGAGATGGAGACCATCCTGGTCAACATGGTGAAACCCCGTCTGTACTAAAAATAGAAAAAATTAGCTGGGCATGGTGGCACGTGCCTGTAATCCCAGCTACTCAGGAGGCTGAGGCAGGAGAATTGCCTGAACCCAGGAGGCGGAGGTTGCGGTGAGCCAAGATCGTGCCATTGCATTCCAGCCTGGGTAACAGGAGCGAAACTCCATCTCAAAAACAAACAAACAAAAAAACCCATGCCAAGAAGTCCTGCCATCAGCTCTCCCCAAACCAAGCTTCATACAGCTCTTGGTGGTTCAGTTCAGATACAGGGTGCAGTCTGTGTATGAATAAAACCACTGAAGAGCATGCTCCTCGATGATTCTAAGCCCCAATGCTTATTTTCCCTTTCTTTTGCTGAGCCACATCCTTTACTTCTAAGTAAAAGCATTTCCTGGGTATGCTCTGTGGAGTCTTGTTAGTCCTTTGAACTGATGAATGCATATGTCTTATGACCTTGCAGTCAGGTCTACAAAATATGAATTTGCAAAATCACATCTATTTTGTCATATGTATTTAGGCCAAGTTGACTTAGAGTCCATAACCATGTTTGCTCCTTAGAGCTGCCCAAACTTCACTAAGCAATAAAGTTGGATGAAAAATACTCATGCACCATATGACATTTCGTTCCATGATGCATATACAGTGATGGTCTCATAAGATTATAGTACCATATGTTTACTGTACCTTTTCTATATTTAGGTTATATACAGGTTTACATATACAAATAGTTACCATTGTGTTACAGTTGGCTATAGTATTCAGCACAGTAACATGCAGTACAGATTTGTAGCCTAGGAGCAACAGGCTATACCATAGAGCTTAGGTCTGTAGTAGGCTGTACCATCTAGGTTTGTATCTGTATCCTGTGATGCTTACACATTCGTGACACTGCCTAATGATGCATTTCTCAGAATGCATCCCCATTAAGTGATGCAATGCTGTATTTATCAATTCATAACACGAAAAATCTCTCAAGTGAGTGAAATCGCTCACACCTGTAATCCCAGCACTTTAGGAGGCCAAACTGGGAGGACTGCTTGAGGCCAGGAGTTTGACACCAGCCTGGGCAACACAGCAAGACCCCATATGTATAATATGTATTAAAAAAAATTAACTGAGAGTGATGGCACACGCCTGTAGTCCTGACTACTTGGGAGGCTGAGGCAGGAGAATCATTTGAGTCCAGGAATTCAAGTCTACAGTGAGCTATGACACCATTGTACTCCAGCCTAGGTGACAAAATGAGAACCTGTCTCAAAAAAAAAGTGCAGAAAAAATTTCTGATTTCTTCAAAAGAATTTTCAAGCAGGATTCTGGAATATAGCCCAATGTTGTTTCATGCCAAAATATAAACCATAGGGCCAAATTTTCCTAAGGAGAAGCAGCTTATAAGTAAATAGCTTTAGAAAATACAACTTCGGCCGGGCACAGTGGCTCACTCATCTAATCCCAGAACCTGGGGAGGCTGAGGTGCGTGGATCATCTGAGGTCAGGAGTTTGAAACCAGCCTGGCCAACATGATGAAACCCCGTGTCTACTAAATATACAAAAAATTAGCCAGGTGTGATGGTGGGCACCTATAATCTCAACTACTTGGAAGGCTGAGGCAGGAGAATCGCTTGAACCCAGGAGATGGAGGTTGCAGTGAGCTGAAATCATGCCATTACACTCCAGCCTGGGCAACAAAAGCAAAACTCCATCTCAAAAAGAAAGAAAAGAAAAAAAGAGGCCAGGTGTGGTGGCTCATGCCTGTAATCCCAGCACTTTGGGAGGCCAAGGCAGGTGGATCTTGAGGTCAGGAGTTTGAGACAAGCCTGGTCAATATGGTGAAACCCCATCTCTACTAAAAATTAAAAAATTATCCAGGTGTGGTGGCATGTGCCTATAGTCCCAGCTACTCAGGAGGCTGAAGCAGAATCGCTTGAACCCGGGAGGTGGAAGTTGCAGTGAGCCAAGATCGCGCCACTGCACTCCAACCTGGGTGACATAGCAAGACTCTGTCTGAAAACAAAACAAAACAGAATTCCACATAAAACTGAAGTAAACAAAAGAATAAAAAAAAAGAAAAGAAAAAGAAAAGGCCGGGCACGGTGGCTCACACCTGTAATCCCAGTACTTTGGGAGGCAGAGGCAGGCAGATCACGAGGTCAGGAGTTTGAGACCAGCCTGGCCAACACAGTGAAACTTTACTAAAAATACAAAAAATTGGCTGGGCATGGTGGCAGGTGCCTATAAGCCCAGGTACTTGGAAGGCTGAGGCAGGAGAATCACTTGAATCCAGGAGGCGGAGGTTGCAGTGAGCCAAGATCGTGTCATTGCACTGCAGCCCGGCCGACAGTACGAGACTCTGTCATAAAACAAACAAGCAAACAAACAAAAAACAAAACAAAAAAAAAGAAAAAAACCACAACTTCATTTAGACTTTCTTTAAAGCATTCAAAAGTACCTCTTTCATGGACATTCATTAGATTTCATACCTTGATTTCTCTCTGTGCTTTTGTTAACTGAACGTCATGAGAAATGACAGCACAGGGTCTTTTGAGGATGGACTGCATTATCTGCAGCTGGTCTTTTGGGGGCTATATTCATTTTTGTGTGTGTGCAAAATTGGGATGTATGCGAATGTAATTTAGTGCCAAAAAATGCAAGAGAACATATATGAACCCCTCAATTGAGTTGTTAAGATATGTAATCGTAAGCCAAAAATACAGCCAAATCTTCAACTGTATTTTACGGCCATTTTTTTTTTTCACGCCAAAATCACCTAGTAGCAATCACCGTATCTTTGTTTACTGACTCTAGAATCCAGATATTTATACCTTTATTTATTTATTTTTGAAACAGGGTCTCACTCTGTTACCCAGGCTGGAGTGCACTGGTGCTATCCTGGCTCACTGCAACCTCTGCCTCCCAGGCTCAAGTGATCCTCCCACTCAGCCTCCCGAGTAGCTGGGACTACAGGAACGTGCCACCATGCCTGGCTAATTTTTTGTAGAGATGGGGTTTTGCCGTGTTTCCCAGGCCGGTGTCGAACTCCTGGGCTCAAGTGATCCTCCACCTCCCGAAGTGCTGGGATTTCAGGCATGAGCCACCTAGCACAGCCTTATACCTTTATTTTTATTATATCCTAATAGACACTAAAAAATTACTTTCCCTTTTAATAAAACAATTAAGTTAAATAAAAACTTTTTTAATAAATAAAAATAAAACTGTTTTTAGTTGGCTGGGCATGCTGGCTTATGCCTGTAATCTCAGTACTTTGGGAGGCCGAGGTGGGCAGATCATCTGAGGTTGGGAGTTTGAGACCAGCCTGACCAACATGGAGAAACCATGTCACTACTAAAAATGAAACAATTACCTGGGAGTGGTGGCGCATGCCTGTAATCTCAGCTACTTGGGAGGCTGATGCAGGAGAATTGCCTGAACCTGGGAGGCGCAGGTTGCAGTAAGCCGAGATTGAGCCATTGCACTCCACCCTGGGCAACAAGAGCGAAACTCCATCTCACACACAAAAAAAATTAGCTAGGCATGGTGGCAGGCCCATGAAATTCCAGCTACTGAGGCAGGAGAATTGCTTGAACCAGGGAAGCAGAGGTTGCGGTGAGCCAAGACTATGCCATTGCACTCCAGCCTGGGTGACAGAGAGAAACTTCGTCTCAAAAAAAAAAAAATTGTTTTTAGTTAAAAAGCCTGACCATTTTGTTGGTTGCTGGCCAGGAATTTGGGAAGACCTCAGCCGGGCAGTTCTTGTGGTTCCAGTTTTATGTTAGTAGGGTCCACAGTCATCTGAAGTCTTGACTAGATGTCCAAGAGGCCTCACTTACTTACATGGTTGGCAGCTCATGTTAGCTGATGGCTGGGAGCTCAGCTCCAGCTGTTAAACAGGGTGTCTTACACATAGACTTGCTAGGATTATAGTCTTGGTATGGCTAGACTTCTTTCACGGAACAGAGCTTTCCTCAAAGTTAAAAGTCCCAAGCCCCATTTGTTTCCTTTTAATCTTCCTTTCTTTAGTATTAATTCCTCAGTGTTGTGTAAGAAATGAGCAACAGTTAAAGTCATTCTTAGAATCATTTCATGTGAAGAGTTCTTATCCTATGTGAATTCCCTGATATAGTGTAATATTTGAACAATGGCTGTAAGCTTTTCCATATTCATTATTTGTACCTGACCAGTAAGATGCAGGCCATGGGTAAACACTATATTCCTCCCCATGCCCCAACTTCAACACACTCACAGGACTTTTCTCTAGTTGGAATTCTCTGATGTTGAATGAGGAAAATGTTGGCTGCTTCTCCTTCTTTGGTAGACTTTTTGCTTTCCAATAAGGCATTAGCTGTGGCTAACAGCAATCTCACATTTATTACATTTGTCTGGAAGATATGGGCTCTGGCTGAATCTTATATATTCACATCCCCAGTTTTCACAATAACATTGATAGATTTTTTCCTCTAGCATGAATTTTCTGGTTTGAACCAGCACATATTGATAAAACTTATAGCTGCTTTCCTTCAGTGTGATCTCATGTGGTGAAAGTTCTGAATTGTCTGGCAGTATCTGACTGAATACACATATGTTCTAAGACCCAGCGATTCCATTCCTAAGTATATACACAAGAGAAATGCATGTATGTGCACCAAGACAAGTATGTTCTCAGAAGCATTATTTATTATGACCCTAAGCTGTAAACAATGTAAAAGTCCATCAACAGTAGAATGGATAAATTGTGATATAATCATATAATAGAACTCTATACTGAATAAAAATAAACTTCTGCTACATGCACTAATGATCAGACTCAGGGACATGATGAATGTAATAAGCTGTATATGAAAGAATACATGACACATAATGATTTATAATATGTAAAAACTACTTTGTAATGTTAGAAGTCAGAATCATGGTCAACTGTGAGGCAGTAACAACTAATTTTTATTTTGTATTTGCAATGCGAAATACAGTTCATGCCTCCTTCTTTTAAAGAATGTCTACTCACTCTATAGTCCATGGAGCACAGTCAGTTGGCCAACTGTTTATTACTGCTTAACAGAAAGATGTGTATTGAAATGGAAAATGTGATTTTAAATGTTTATAATACCTTGACAGAGGAAGTTTTTGTCTGCTGAAGCTAGTAATAAAAAATTTGGATTTTAAATGATTTCTGTCATGTAATTTGTCTAATTGTGTGTGTGTGTGTGTGTGTGTGTGTGTGTTTATAGGCTGGCAAACAGTAGGATACCTTAAACTGTTGTATATTATTACAATAGCAAGCAACATCATGTACAGGGTTTACTATGACTTAAAAAATTTTTTACAAAAAAAGTCACATTACTTACTGAATTCCCATGGTGTCTACCTTGTGAGTTTTCTGATGGACAATTAGGTTTGACTTACAACTGAAGAACTTCCCACACTGTTTACACTCATATGGTTTCTCTCCTGTGTGAGTTTTCTGATGGCGAATGAGGTTTGATTTCCTACTAAAGGCTTTCCCACACTGAGGACAGCCATTGGATTTCTCTCCTGTATGTATTCTGTGATGAACAGTGAGGATTGCCTTCTGGCGGAAAGACTTCCCACATTCATTACAAATATACGGTTTCTCCCCTGTGTGAATTCTCTGGTGGAGAGTGAGGGTTGTCTTTTGGCAGAAGGACTTCCCACATTCATTGCAAATATAGGGTTTCTCTCCTGTGTGAGTTCTCTGATGCACAGTGAGGGTTGTTTTCTGGATAAATGCCTTCCCACACTCATTACACTGATACGGTTTCTCTCCTGTGTGAGTTCTCTGGTGATCAATGAGGTATGACTTCTTCCTAAAGGCACTTCCACACTGAGGACATTCATAGGCTTTCTCCCCCGTATGTGTTTTGTGATGTCTAGTGAGGGTGGCCTTCTGGCGGAAAGACTTCCCACAATCAATACAAATAAAGGGTTTCCCCTCTATGTGTGTTTTCTCATGAAGGGTGAGGGCTGTCTTCTGACGGAAGGCCTTTCCACATTGATTGCAAACATAAGGTTTTTCACCTGTGTGAATTCGCTGATGTTCAATGAGGTATGACTTCCTTCTAAAGCTATTCCCACAGTAAGGACATTGAAAGGGTTTCTCTTCTGTTTGAGGTCTCTGAGGCACAATAAAAACAGACTTTCTGCAGAGGAATTTCCCATATTTGTTGCAGGCAGAGGGCTTCTTTTCCATAAGATTACTTGGATGGACACTGAGACTTGACTTTTCTATGAAGGCAATTTCATCTTTATCGTATTCAAAGGTTCTTTCTCCTATGTGAGCTCTAGTATGTGTAAATAGCATTCCTTTCATCAGGAAGGATTTTTCACATTCATTATGGTCAAATGGTTGCTCTGGAGTTTGAACCTTCTGATGCTGAATAAGCTCTTGTTTACCACTGAGAACTCTTTCTGTTTGTTTATGGAGATTCACTGCAGGATGAATTTTCTCATGCTTAGTATTATGAAGTGGTTTCTCCCATCCAATACTCTCACCAAACTTCTCTTTTATGGGGCTTATATTTCTAATGACTAGTTCTGAAATATTTTTCAAAACTTTTCCATCAGGTTTACATTCACATAGTGTTGTTTTTGAAATATGGTTCTTGCCTAGAGTAAGTGTTTTACCATAAATATTACTTCTCTCCTTAATTAGTTTTTTGTGGTTAATAAGTATGAGGGATCTAGAATGCCTGTCTTGGTATTCTTTGAACTTCACTAAGACATCTTCAGTTTTCCCATCTGCTTCTAGAAAAGAATACAATTAACACTGTAAGTCTGCACATAAATGCTATGGATTGGGTGTACATACAGACAAACTATGGTGGGACTAGCTCACTACTGTGATCTAAAAGAAGGCCAGAATAAATTCCCTCTTGGTAGGGAAAATGTATGAACATAAATACACATCTTGCTACACTGTTAAGATGAAGAAAAACTAGCAGAAGAAAAAACACTCATATCTTTGGCATGTTATAAATATAAGCTGCACTGAAAAGGTGTAAGAAACAAGGATGAGTGAGCAGAAGAGAAAGAATGATAAAAGAGGGATTGTCCTTGGCATGGAGGATTCAGAGCTGCTGAAGTAAGCCTACCAAGGGTACTGAACAGTAGGCAAATGACAAAAAATTACTTATGAAGAAATGAAAAGCTTCACATTTATCCCCTCACACCTAAGTAAGTGCTATGAGTGCTTCCAATTCTTTCTTCTTCACTTCCATTTTGCCTATGCATGGTAAATTAACTTTTTCAGCTCCTTTCCTAGTGTTTACAGAAACGTTAGTCTATAGTCTAGGCCCTAACTGCCCATATAACTGTAATTTATTTTCTCTTGAAAGCAGAGAATCTAGAAAACATATTCCCATGAGGAATTATAAAATACACCAAAAGACAAAATATATTTCCAATATGAATATAATCACGGTTGTGTGTGTGTATGTGTGTATGTGTATTTGAATTCTTTTTTTTTTTTGAGACAGGGTCTTGCTCTATCCTCCAGGCTGGAATACAGTGATGTGATCCCAATGTGATCCCGGCTCACTGTAGCCTTGACCTCCTGGGCTTAAGCAATCCTCCCACCTCAGCCTGCCAAGTATCTGGGGCTACAGGTGTGTGCCACCATGCCCAGCTAATGTTTACATTTTTTTGTAGACATGAGGTTTTCCTATGTGGCCCAGGCTGATCTCGAACTCCCAGCCTCAAGTGATCTTCCAAAAGTTCTGGGATTATAGGTGTGAGCCACAGTGCCCGGGCACTGTAGTATTCTGATTGCTGTTACCATCAATGTATTCTGCCAGAGATGGTCAATAATGAAATTCTCCTCACCATGAATTCTAACTTCGTTCTTTCAATTTGCCGAATTACTTTTTTCAGCTTTAGGAAAGAATAAGTTTGAGTTTTCCTCCCAATACAGTCACATATCTTAATTCTGCTATTCCCTATTGGAGCTATAAAGGACTGGATTATTCAATGTATGTGCAGAGCATTGATTAATCTTTACTATTTAAAAAATAAATTACTGTATATCTTACTATTGTTGCCTTACTATGATGCATATTCGGGAGGGCAATTTAAAGATGGATTCATCTCATCTATGATTTACATTTTTATTTATAATAGTCCCATACTGGGAACAGCCCAAATATCCATGAAAAGATTAACAGGTAAAACTATGTCATATATTATACAATAGAATACTACCTCACAATAAGAAGAAACAATGCTGATACACAATAACAACAGGAACAAATCTCAAATATTTTGCAGACTATAAGCTTTATGAAACAGAGTACATATACAATTCCACTTATGTGCAGTTCTAGGCCATGTAAAACTAATCTATATTGGTAATTGAAGTTATATTGTCTTCCTAAGAACTTCAAACACCTCCAAGTATATGCTGCTAACCAATTTTTCTTAAAGCTTTCACAGTCTTTCTTTCTTTTTCATTTATTTCTTTTCTTTTTTCTTTCTTCCTTTTCTTTCTTTCTTATATGCTGCTACCCAATTTTTCTTAAAGCTTTCATAGTTCTCTTTTTTTCTTATATGCTACTATCCAATTCTTCTTAAAGCTTTCACAGTCTTTCTTTTCTTTTTTTCTTTCTTATATGCTACTAGCCAGTTTTTCTTAAAGCTTTCACATAGTTCTTTCTCTCTCTCTTTCTCTCCTTCCTTTCTTCCTTTTACATTTTTTAGTAGAGATGGGGTTTCACTGTGTCAGCCTTGCTGATTTTGAACTCCTGACCTCAGGTGATCCACCCACGTTGGCTTCCCAAAATGCTGAGATTACAGAAGTGACTGCTGCTCCCAGCTAAAGTTTCACATAGTTTTTCTACCTCTCAGTATCCCATCTGTTTGAAATTGTAATATAATTATGATCTGGAACGTTCACTTCAAGATATTTTCCAACAGCCTGGGATTTTAACATAATCATTCTATATAAAGTCCACAATTTGATAATATAATATTGCTTTCTTAACTAAAACTCATGTTTTTATAGGTCAATATTTTATTGACAATATTCTCTAAAATCTTCTGAGTATACATTTACACACCGTTATCTGAGGTTAGGGGATAAAATATTGGCAGGTACACCTAAAAGAACTTAGTAGTAAATGATTTCTAAATGGAAGAGAAAGATATTTTCCTTGCATGGTACGACAATCAATAAGATAACTACTGAATACCTGGCCTCTGTTATAAGCTGCAGTAAGGAAAGACAAAAGAGAGGATCTTATTTTGGGGAAACAATTAACCAAATGGAGAAAGAAATGGCATATAAAACAATGTTGAATTAGGTATCAAATTACTAGATCATATCAGAGGACGTATTTGCTCACATGTTATAGACGTTAAGTAAAATGGGAGTGCATAAAAAAGGAATAGACATAGTCTATACAGTAATCAAGGTATTTCATGGAGGAAATGAAACATGATCTTTTAGCTAAATGACATATAATATTGTGTGGTAAAGAATTTAACCTTGCCAAACACAATATCTAACCTTTAACTTCAGCTTCAGTATGGTAATCTCTGAGCCCTTTGAATGTCATCATGGCTAATAGGAGTTTATTTGTTTGCCAGGGAGTCTTTGGCTGGCCAAACAATAACAATGTGATTTAGGGTGGGAACTTTGAGTTATGCAGCAAGCATTAGCTCAGCTTCCTAAGGCACTGGAAACTGAGCTCAGCCATGTGGGCAATCAGGCCTAGGTGGCGGAGCCTCAGTAAAAACTCTGGACACTGAGGCCGGGCTGAACTTCCCTGGTTAGCAGTACCCTGTATGCAAATTTATACAGTTGCCAGGATTGCTTCCATGACTCCACAGAGAGAGGGCACCTAGAAGCTGCATGTTTGGGGCTTTCCTGGACTCCACCCATGTCCTTCTTCCCTTGACTGATTTTAATCTTTTTCTGTAACAAACTATAATTGTGAACATAACAGCTTTCACTGAGTTCCATGGGTCTTTTCAGTAAATTATTGAACCTAGCTGGGCATGGTGGCTCATGCCTGTAATCCTAGCACGTTGGGAGGCTGAGGTGGGTGGATCACTTGAAGTCAGGAGTTCAAGACCAGTTTGGCCAACATGGTGAAACCCCATCGCTACTAAAATACAAAAATCAGCAGGGTGTGGTGGCAGATGCATATAATTCCAGCTACTTGGGATGCGAAGGCACAAGAATAGCTTGAACCTAGGAGGTGGAGATTGAGTGAGACTCTGTCTCAAAATAAAGAAAATTATCTAATCTAAGGGCAGTCTTGGGGATTCCCAAACTTACAGCTGGTGTCAGAAGTAAGGGTGGTCTTGTATGGATTACTGTACCCTCCAATTTCATAGTTGGTTAACTTTGCAAGTATATATATGGAAGTCTATCTGAAAGCCATTCATATAAAACAAGGAAATACATTTGAGAATTCATCAGATTATTGTAGCTTGCAGGACTTTTATAAAGTCAAGAGTTCAGGGTGAAGAAAATGCTTAAAGGACACATCAGAAATATACCAAGGAGAGGCCTAATGAAACAAGATTAATTTAGTCAACAATATTTATTGTCCTAGACAAAGTACAAAAGGGGGATAAAAGCAAACAAGATGTGAAAATGTACTCAGGGAAATAGGATGAGAATGAGTTAGTATTTTTCACCCAAATCCAGGTGGGCAGATATCAAGAATGATGCTCAGCACTATGATATGAAACACAAAAGTTTATTGGAAAGAAATCGTGATCCTGAAATTATCACTTTGATTCCAGGCATACGGATTTTGGAACCTGGTGGTAGGTCTCATGGTGAAAATGGGATGTGAGACTCAGGCAGAAAACAAGCATAAGGCATTGCCCAAGGAAAGAAAGAGAAGAAAGTGAAAACTATGAGAAAGAAAGATATTAAACAATAATTTTTATTTTTCTGATAGGTTTAAGAATGCTCTCTTTTATAAATAGGGGACTATAACAAAAGGATGAAGATAGAGGACTGAAATGCTAAAGAAAGAAAAGAAAAGAAGTAATATCTCAGTGGGGCACAGTGGCTCATGCCTGTAATCCCACCACTTTGGGAGGCCGAGGCGGGTGGATCACCTGAGGTCAGAAGCTTGAGACCAGCCTGGACAACATGGTGAAACCCCATCTCTACTAAAAATACAAAAATTAGCCAGGTGTGGTAGCACACGCCTACAGTCCCAGCTACCCAGGAGGCTGAGTCAGGGAACCGGGGAGGTAGAGGTTGCAGTAAGCTGAGATCACACCACTGCACCCCAGCCTGGGAGACAAAGCAACACCCTGACACACACACACACACACACACACACACACACACACACACACACACAGCAACATCATCTAAACCACCATTTCCCAAGGTGTGATTCATAAACTTGTAGTACTTGAGTCCCTTTACTTGGGTAAAAGGGAGTATATGCAGGGTAAAATGATTTTCATTAATAACAACACTTCATTTGTCTTTTTTTTCTGTGTTTATATTTGCACTAATGGGTCAAAAGCAATGGTAGGTGTTTCGTTTATACTCATGGATTTTAATTTATGGTGGTGACTCAGTGACAACAGAGCAGCTAGTGCCATTAAAAGAACATTTTTATGATGTACCTTTTCTGAGGGGAGGGGGAATGCCAGTCTACACATGAGCCACATGGGGAAGCAGCAGGTTTAGGCAAGAAGCAGAAAGGAGCACAGGGAAAGCCTAGGCCAGAACCTTCATGGGGGTTTCTGGGGGAAAGGCAAGGCAGAGAAAACAG